AGCTTGTAGTGACTCGTTGTTAAACGATTTTACTGAATTGGTTTCCATTGAATTTTTCACACTTCTATGATTTTCGCAGTGATCACCCTACGGGATTTGTCAAGCTTTAGCTTTTATACCCGCATAAATCCATTGTTCCGTTGTTCCATTGTTCACCTGAGGGGACCATTCTTTGTGACGTTTCACAAACTTCTCCCCGACCTGTAGTTCCTACTTCAATGCGTCGACTAGTTTTCAACGCTTTACACAACCTGTCTCATCCCGGCATACGACCTTCGCAGAAGCTCGTAACTGAACGCTGCGTATGGCCCAACCTCAATCGCGATGTCCGCCTTCGGGCACGCGCGTGCTTAGAGTGTCAGCGCGCCAAGGTCTACAAACACACCAAAAGCACACTTGGCGTCTTTCCCGCTCCCGACTCTCGTTTTGCACTCGTCCATGTCGACCTGGTCGGACCTTTGCCTTCATGCAAAGGCTACGTGTACCTCCTCATTTGTGTCGACCGATTCACCCGTTGGCCAGAGGAGATTCCGGTAGTCAACTGCTCATATGAGCCAGTTGCGCAAACTTTCCTAGAACGCTGGGTGGCTCAATTCGGTTGCTTAAGCGTAGTCATCACTGACAGAGGATCACACTTTGACGGATACTTCAGCAAACTGCTCAACGTTCTTGGTTGCCAACCTAACCAAACCACCGCATACCATCCCGCAGCTAATGGGATGGCAGAAAGGTTCCACCGGCAACTCAACACATCACTCTGTGCCTAACCTAGCACGTCCTGGCACGAAGCACTTCCGCTTATTCTCTTAGGCATATGAAACACGATTAAAGCGGATTTGCACGCCACTTCATCGTCGCTAGTCTTTGGATGCACACAACGCTTACCTGGTGAACATGTCTCACCAAAAGCACCAAAAACCTTCGACTATGGCGACTACGCAGCTCGCCTATCTCCTCACATGCGACAGCTTCAGCCTGTGCAACCCAGAGCACAGAGCTTGCGTACCAACGTGGACGAACGCTTAACTACACGCACGTATTTGTTTGCACTGACAGCGAACACCGGCCACTTCAACCTCCTTATTCTGGTCCGTACCGTGTCGTACGCAGAAGCGACAAGACGTTTACCATTGACTACAATGGTAAGACTGAGACGATCAAAGTCGATCGACTCAAGCCAGCATTCCTCGACAAGTCTGACTCTTCGGTTCAACAAGCACCTTCACAGCCTGCGCCATCACAGCTCGCAACGCAACCTCAGACCAGTCGGTTCGCTCCAGCAGAACCGACAACCTCAATCGACAGCACTCCTACTCGCCATACTATCAATCGACGCGATAGGAAGCTCAAACCTCCAGTTCGTTTTTCAGACTTCGTTTGCACTTAGTATTTTACGTAGAACGTGCCTTTGAAATTTTCTGCTCTTACCAAACGTTTTCGAAAATCCACAAAAAAGACCAAAACGTCTTGAAACTACCAAACAGCAAAACCTTTTGAAAACCCAAAAATAGCTATGCACGTTTTTCGCTTTGCACTCTTTTGTGTATTGCTATGCATTTACGCTGCTTTTTCATTTTGCTTTCCATATACACCGCCGGTTGGTTGCACCTCGGTTTCACTTTTCGCTGGATCCCCGCACGTCAACTGGAAGTGGAACGAACTTCCTGCTCAACCGCCTACGTGAACATTACTAACTGTCCCCCACAAACAGTATTTTACCGTTTCGACACCGTAGGAAGGACACGGGTGGGAGCACGCTAGGGTCCCATCGCGTGGTTATCCCCCAGCAGCTGCATCAGGTTTTACAGCCTGGTCTCGCAAAAGGCTGGCCCGTGACGGGCAGTCCTCACGTAGATCGGAGGACTGCTTACACAGTCCCTTCTGGAAGAGAGCTATGTAGCCGTCTGAAGATTCCACGGTTTGCCTGTGTAAAATTCTAAAATTCTTTAATTGTACACTTAGGCAACCGGTGTGGTTTGTTGAACTGATTGCTGAGTTCGAATGCTTGACTTGCTCATCGCCATTTTTGCTTGGCGCTCGTTTCGGTTGCAACTCGCGACTGTCCTGTGTGCTGCGCATGCTCCGTTCCCCTAGCTAGAGCGCCCACGGTGTCGTTCCTTTATAGCTAGGTAACAGGAAACCTTTTACTGTACCAATAAAAGCTTCCCTGCAACTCGATGTCTTTTTGAATCGCTCTCCGCGCTCCCGGTACAGGCTACTCCCTAAACTATCCTGAATCTAGTGGGCGTGATGATATGATTGTATGAGGGAATATTAGCGATAAGTATATGCAACTCTGCGTTGCACTGTTCATTGTGTAATGCCGATACCTTCAGATTGTGTAGATTGCAGTCCTCGGAGATGAGAATGGGGCTGTGCCTAGTGCGTGTTACCCTGTCCAATGCGCATATCAAGCTGGAATCCATTTCCGGAATGGACGTTGGAGGCGGTAACCGAGAGCTACTAGACATGCGTCGTTGTGTCTTAGTCAGAGACGGAAACCTAGTGAGTTTCCAGATCTTTAGTGATTACACACTGCAGGTCGCTGCGGTATTGGAGAAGGACTTCACTTCCTCTGTTGGGGCGCCGTTCCGGATGATTGACATTCCTACTGTTACAAACTCAGCACCAACCACTTCTTGGTGCCACCAAGTTTCGGTAATAGAAATTAGATCCCAAACATGCGCAACCTGACGTAGCCGAACTTCGATAGGTTTATTGAGGAGTCCTTAGGTGTTAGTATGGATACATGAAAGTTTCTCAGATGTAAGCAATGTTTGGGAGGTTGTGCAAGTTATACCTGATGTTTCGCCGACCAGTGAATGGCCGGCGGCTAATATTTTTGCGACGTGTTTTGCGCGGTGTTAAAAGTCTCATTCAACGTCTGCGTATTTAATCCTTTATCTAATTTTCTACATACGGTGTAAGGTGTCTGTTCCATATCATCATCTACAGGTTGTATGGGCTTGTTAGACACGCTACTGGTGCATTGTTACTTTACTGATTCCATCGCGTTTGGTTCGTTGATTGAAATGTCATCTCTAAGAGACATATCGCTGACTGTCTTTAGCAGACGTGCTACCATATCTTTTGACTGTAGGACCACCTTCAACGCTCTCGGACCAAATCTTTGTACTTCGGTGAGGTACGCAGCCGTGACATATCATCTAACCGGAGTGTTTTTAACATAACACCACTGCTATTTATCATGGGTAGTTATTTCAATGCGGATTGCTAACATGCTCAAGCCTGTATAAGGCGATCGCTCAACCGACCAAGAAAAAGTGGTCGCCTTGGACAAGTGGTCACCATGGAGAGTTTCATGCATAGAGACATGACTCATATGAGAAAACGTTGGGGATGTTTACGGCTGCTCGCCATTGACGGCTGGTTCTCATAGCAGGTTGAACTGTAGTAATGCAAAGCTTCTACTTCGTGCATACTGTTAAGTGACACGGACACGATCAAAAAGTCACGATGGGGGCGGGCGGAAAACAGGCGTTTATTCAGTATAGTGTAGCCTATTTAAATGAAATAAACACTGTTAATCTTCGAGCCTTCTCAGTGGGTCTCCCGTTTTTCGGCTCACCTCATTGGTTGCGTTCCCCTTTTATTTCATTGGGTTATGCTATTCCTCTTCGGTCGCTGTCTTCCTGTCTCGCGCAATGATCACGTCTTTCGTGCTTGGCATCTGATTGGCCGTATTTCTTTGGACCACTCATATTTGGCTTTGCACTCTGAAACTTGCCGTTAATAGCGATTCTCGAGTTGCCAGTGCGCCCTCTATGTTTTGTTGTCCAATCCGGTTTGTCGGTTTCTGGATACGTGCGCCACTCGTGATTCGCTGTCCAGCCATCGCTGTGTCTCCCGGTGGGTTCACGCGTTCTCTCCATCGAACTGATCCGCTGACTCCGGTAACCTGCGCTTAGGTGGTAAGGTCGAGCATACTGAACTGGTTTCCTAAACCCCGTTACACATACGAGGATGCAGTTCATCAGTTACCATTAAACAGTACCAATATGAACCCTGGTACTAGTGTGTAAACACCACAAGCGTACACACAGTTGAAGCAATACCTTATGACTTAAACCATTTAATACCATTGCCAGCTATTTAAGTAGTATAGAATTTCAACTTCAGGCTTGTGAGCATGTGCTTGAAATCCAAATTTCCACATCTCAAAGTTGCAATCTGGTCACTACATAAACTACTCATGCGCGCATGGGTATTCCCAAATTCCAGATTATAGTCATTAGTCTGGGTACAACTACTCTTAAGCGTTTTTGTCATATAATCTGGCAACCTTTCGATGTGCACATATTCACAAATCCGAATTTGCCTTCCTTTTGGTTATGTTCATGTCAGTCATACAAATGGGCACTCAGTAATTGGCATAACGATTACTGTACACTGGAATAACTACCATTGAATTCATTGAGGAATATACTATCGGAGAAAAACTTCCCGTATGCTTAGCTGTAGGGGGTTCCCGATTAATATAATGAAAGTAACTTCACAATGCAACACTTTTCCGAAGGTTGCTTGTGATTAGTTGACCGAGGTAAGAACGAAAACGCCTATAAATTGCTTTTCACTATCAATTTGTTGCCCGTAGGTGCCCTGATGAACGTATGAACATGAGGTTTGTATCGGAAACAAGCACCAGGTAAGTTAATGAAGCCTATGAACTGCTCTTCTGCGTTAACGAACTTGTTGCAATCTGCTAAATTTGCACAAAAAAATGATATGCTAACTGAGAACGGGTTTAGACAATCAGTTTTTGGACGTTATGCGATTGACATATATTCGTGAGTTGAATGAGGGTCAAGGCAGTTATGCACATATCTCCCTGCCGGCATTTTCTCTGTCATTGCTGCACACACATAGTTCCATATTTTTTGTACAGTTGCTATTCTCATGAGAATAAGAGTACGTCCAAAGGGAATTGTTTATACAGTGTTGTTTGGAATCAGTGGTCTGTTGCAAACGTTACGGAATGTGAGAAGTGATAACCGAAGTCAAACATAGTTAATTCTTGATTGCAATGATTGGCGATTGGAAGCATCGTTTTCCGTCTCAGTGTGCGTGAGTTCCGGTTGCTGTACACCGGATGTGTTGTCCCATGGCGTGAACGCGCTTAGATGCGTTGGATCCGTCGAATCTATTGCTGTCAGACACTCACACGTGGATGACTTGTCTAGTGAATGTGAGTCGAGCGATTCTGTGCTCATGTCCACCTGAGGCATGGGGATTCCGACTAAAGCCTTCAGCTCTTGCCGTGCCCTCTCGCGAGCGTGTAAATATGGGGCTTCTGCAAAGCAAAGTAAATAAATGGTACATTTTATCCTTAGGTGAACAATTATGCTCTGCAAAATGCCGCACAACCACACAGATTATGTTTGACAGCCGGGTGAGTAAAACACAGCGGATAAATTGAGCTGCGCTGCTATACAAGCTCCAGTGTAGAGTGCAGTTACTACAAATTACCAGCCCGCGTCACAACAAATTGAATGCTTTCCGACGCTAACTACTTATGTACTCAGCAATCTGTACAACCAAACATATCTGGGCAGATCCCGCTAAACATGTCCCAACTCAGGTGCACATTGACTTTACCGTTGCTGTCATTGGGAAAATCGACCTTTCCCCATGCGTATGTACCGGTGTTTGCAGTAGATGCGATAACAAATTTCTTACAACTCTCGAGATCTTGAAATCTCCCAAAAGAATAGAGGAAACCCTCGACTTTGGAATTGTTAATTATCCGGTGATATCCTATGTCAGCCATTCAAAAGCACATAACAGCTCAAAGAACTCTATAGTTAAGCTATCTTCTGTTGTCTACAGAGAGGGAAAATGCGAAGATGTCACTCGTTTCAGTGACAGTAGATAGTAAATTGAAAATATCTTCCTCCTACAGTGGTGCTGTTGGGGGCCTTTGCTTCCAAAAGCTGCAGTTTGTTGTTTTGAAACAGACGTGTCAATGTCTTAGGTCCAGATGGTAAGCTATCTTCATTTTTATCTTGATCACTGATATCCGATGGAAGTTATATTCATCCATGTTGATCGGTTTTCATTGCCACATCTGAAGCTCCAGCCCGGACGCAATGAATGATGGGATAAGCAATCCAGCACGGATAAAAACAATACGCTTAACAGTTTCCGTTGGTAAAGAGAGAGAGCCTAAGCATGAATGTATCAAGAAAAAATAACGCCCTGCGGCTGACTTGCCACAAATTGTACGTACACAAATAGTTTGGTTACTTTGTCCCATGTCCCAGATAATTGGAATAAATTATGTAATCCAAATGGCGTAAGTCGGGTTTCGAATTCTGCTAACTTTGGAGTGGAGGAAATTTACACGGCTGGGAGACACGAATGGAGAAAACGTTCTGGTGGCTTTCCAACTGGCTGTACTGCGTACCGAAATTCGATCGGTAGCATATTGAGGTCTTGTGACTGAAATTTAAACATTTCATGACCATATCAAGAAGGAATGGCTCCAATTTGAACTTGCATATGCTCAGGCAATTAGGGAAAGTAACAGTTACCGCGTGGTTTGGCAGATGATAATGCAAGTGGGCAGAAGCACTCGCCATGGTACTGGCTCCAAAATGGAAGCATGTTAACTAAACCGCAACCCGTTGCTCCAGTAGTGATACTAACTGCCTGCCTAACTTTCAGCACGGTTTTAGGGTCCCACAGGCTTAGAGACTTGTTAATCCAACTACATTCAGGCAAATCAAGGAACGAGGAAATGAGAAGACAAATATTGGCAGATGCTAGCGTTTCGTATTATCTCATCACTATCAATACAATAACAGGGAAATCCTTTTATATATGTCTAATAGGGCACAGTCAAGCCAATCAAATTTATGGTTGTGGTTGTGACCACATTTCGTTGTTCAAACTACTGAAGGGAACTAACTGTTTTAAATCAAGGAACCTTGACAAGTTGTCTCTCATTGCCCTTAACGAGTGCTCGGATTCTTTAGACCAACTCCTTGCTCAGCCGCACACAATGTACCTGAAGCAAACAAAGTCGTATACTGTTAGCGAACTGCCAGCATAATTTCAGTACTGGTTAACGCGACAGACCAATATCAGCTTATAGCGTGTAGCTCGGTGTCTTTGAAGGTTTTGGAGAGGCATATCTGTTTAGATTACCCACCAGTTGGCTTATAGAAGCCCAACGTATACACAAGACGCAGTGGCATGCCTAGTGCATTTAGTGTGGCAGTCGCTAGACAATACGAACCAATCAACATGTGCCTGTCTATTTGACTACAGCAACGCTTTCTTTCGTGTTAACCGCGAATTACTGTAAGCTCTACTGGCATCTGCTGTTCAAACTTTCGTAGTATTCTTGCTGTAGGTTACTTCGCCGAGAGTACTCAACGTTAAGCTCCTCGGCGTTTACCACAGCTTTCGGTGTCTTTCGATGAGATAGTTACTATTTATACCTGTCGCCAACGAAGTCTCTTACATTAAATATGCCAATGACGTGATCACCAGCGAGAATCATCTTATCTAGAACTCGTCTAGCAAAATTCATAGTGCCTAGACACCCTAATACCAATTGGTGAACAGCCTCTGGAGAGTGGAGTGTGGTCTTCCCCCCACTCATCTTAGTTAATGGATGTTCTCAGAAAGCCGCAGATGCAGCTAATGTTCTGTGGTTTCAAGATTCACTAATATTCCTATGCGCTTTCAGCATGTTGCAAATCTGCCCCAGTCCACAAACACCAAGTTTTGCATACATTACGTATAGACCAGTTACTGTATTGAAGAATAGCGCTGTCGTCGCGCTCCCACAGTTTTCTCGGATTTGACAACATTCCCCAGAAAAGACTGCAGGTGAAAGCTGCGAGACTTGGTGAGCCATTATTCCCATTCCATCACCTATGGTTGAATGAAAAGCTAGTCCCTGCCATGTAGAATTAGAGTCTCATTGCCTTGAAATCCAAGTGTGGTAGCCGCTCGGAACCGAACAACTATCGCTCAGTGATTCTGCTCCCAGTAACGGAAGTGCTCCTCACTGAGGCACTAATGGGCTATACAAGAAGAATTTAGAATTCTTTCACCAGAGCAAAACGGCTCCCGTCAGCATCGCTCAGGTACATCCAACATCCTGGTTGCACATGATAGTTGGGCGGAAACAGAAGGTAAATGGACTGGAACCAGTGTATTCCATCTCGGATTTTCAAAAGTCTCCAACTGCCATATTTTCTTCAAATGCAGAAAACCTACCAAATCTGGAACCCTTTCATTGGATGGAGTGGAAATTTCTTTCTTCAGCGGAGAATGAGAGGTCCGGTTTTGCACTTCCCATCTGATCCGACTGAGGTAAATGTGATGTTCCAAAAGGACCGGTGTTGGTGTGACGCTTATTCTTGGCCTTCAGTAATATCTTGAGCATGTCATCAGGCCGAATTTCTCGCTTTTTTGCTGAAATCAAAATATCACAACTAGTCCTAATCAGAAAGATCACAATCCACTGCAAAGCGATCTGGATGGTGCTTTGAATGGCCGAATAAAAAGTTACTTCTGTTCAACGCAGACTGGTGTAGATAGTGTATGTATGCTACAAGTCACCAGCGCGACGAGATTGGGTTTTAACTTACTGCGATGCCTAGCGTGCCTCGACAATCCATTGAGCTATGCCCCGTGTTGCTTTTTGCACCTTCAGAGCCACGCATAACAGATTGGTCATAGGTTAGTGGCCAGACAAACCCAATCTCCTGGACATCCAGGTTGGGGGTTGAAGTGAGGGTTGCTCCTTATTTCATAAAACGGACTCAATGTAGCCAAGTGCCAAAACCCCAATATCCTGCTGCCAGTTTTTTGAACCAAAATCTTTGTTGGAGAACCCTAATCGTTCTCTCGTCTGTCTAGGCAACACCCTGTCCACGCCCTACAGTGCAATGAACTTTGCTGCATTGAAATTCTTGCTGCTCTGGTTATCAAAGATGATAATCAAAGGTGCCCTATCTGCTGCATCGGGCAGGGTTGATAGGATTGAGAATGCTACTTCTCAGGCCATTCCGTTTTCTTATTCCCCTTCTTGCGTGTTTTCATCATTATCTTCCGTTTAAGCTACACGTACTCCCCTGTTTTCAATCCCCGACTCTTGGCCATTCACCATCCTGCTTCAATAAATGTTTGTCTTCTAGTTTTCACCCGCATGCAATTTCAGGGTGTTGCTCCGGTGCAGTCGATAAGTCTAACTGTATGTTCAATAAAGCAATGAACGTCAGTTTACCCGTTTCTTTTTGGTGCCCTCGATACTGGTCATGTTTGACACGTCTCACCATGCGCACTTTGTTAGGGATTGGCCAACAGGCAGCACTTGACCGGAAACAAGCGACTCAGTCGACTGACATCTGCTGCTTATTAGAAACCCGCATGCAAGATTCGAGCTTTGCGCTTGCCCTGTGATCCCTCACATGCGACACTGGCGGCGCTTTCTCATTACGCTTACTCAGAGATGAAGCAGTTTAAATTGCCGGTCAAGACGGTGTGGGCAATGTTGTGAGCCCCAGGCTGAAGCTGGGTTGACTGATTGGATCCACGCCAACAACCAGATGTGTACCGTTAGATTGGTTGGCTCGTTCGAAACTTCGAAGTCGCGTGGTGACTAGCGGTGCTTATTTGTCAGTGCAGCCTACGCCCCCATAAACCGTAGCGCTTATTCGGTGAAAGAGGACTTAAATCATCAACTGAAAGAGCTCATTTGTTACAGGAGTAGTACGAATACTGTGAGGCTTAATGGTTGCCTGAACGTCCATGTTAGGAATCTGTCCACTGATGAACTGCATCTGGGCGGCCAACATGGTGTAGGCTCCCGCAGTGATAACGGTGATCTGTTGCTACACTTGTATGAAGAAACTCGTCTATTCCTCGCAGGCACTAACTTCCGACACAGCACCCGCAGAAGAGTAAGATGGCGACCACCAGTCTCGGACCAACCATAGACCCAAATCGATGACATCACGATCACTCACAGTTGGAAAGGATGTTTTTAAAACTGTCGCTTGATTTGGAGCACGAGCGTGGACGCCGATCACGCAGGTATATTCACCGATCTGCGGGTGTGTTTCGGCGGACTTACGCAACGACGGTGCGGGCCAATAGATATTTGCCAACTGGCAAAACCAGTTGTCCTGCATACGTTCAAAGTACGCTATCATCCGATCTGAGCAAACGTCCACTGAAAATCGTTAAAGAGGTTAGTCGCCTATCACCTAAATGTTACTGTCAGCAGACAAATCTGCATGTAGCAAATAAATCGCCGACTTGGACATTGGGTCT